TGTCGCGATATAGTTAGCTCTAAAATGGAATAGCAAAATCTATAGGACACGTACCCATTACAGCACGCCTTCCCGGCACTACAAGCACCGTTGCCACAGCACACTCCATTAGAAGGTGCACAACTTCTCCCATCACAGCACTTGTATCCTGGCTTGCATTGTTTGGTTCCACAGCACGTGTACCCCTCATATGCGCAGCCTTGCCCGTTACAACAAGTTTCTCCACGGCTGCATGCCCCAGAACCGCAACACGATCCACCTGAAGGTGCACACCTCGAGCTGTCATATGATTCACGTTAGAATTCAAGCCTTGCTCATATGAAAGAGAGTCGTTTACCTTCCACAACAAGCTCCTCCCGAAGGGCATGCACGACTCCCGTCCGAGCAGCAACTGTATCCACTCCTAGCACATCTACACAGTGTCAATCATGATGATTGCCTAAATAGGGGTATACAACTCACCCACTCCCACAGCAGGAATTCCCGGGACATGAACCTCGGTTGCTAGAACAACAAGTGTACCCTGAACGGGCACAAGTCCTAGAAATTGGATCTCAGATATGATGCATGGTTAAAGGCAAGCGTATACCATACCCATTACCACAGCATGTAGTTCCGTAGGGACAAGAATATAGACCCGTAGAACAACAATAATGATCGGGACGGGAGCAATAGCCTGGCCTGTTCGAGCACTGATGGAACAAGAAAAATTGTCATTCTCCGGGTGGACCTAACGACGCGCCGTGTTCACAAGGTACTTACAGGCACATAACCAGGGTTCACACATCTCGTCTGTCTCTCTAATAGCCCCGTAGACTTTTCGGAACCTTCATCGGATAATACATCGCCTCCCCCGTCGTCGAAGGGTACGATGGTTTCGGTAGCGTTCAAATCCCTCGTCCATGTAGTTCTGAAGTATTGTGCAGTGATGTCTGTAAATCCTTGCGAGAACGAGTCGATTGAGGGTATATCATCAGCTATTTTAGGGAACAGCTGAAGTGGGGATTCCGCCGCTACTAGCAAGAACGAACTCGCTAGAACCACGAGCAAGGACCTCGAAGAGAAGTGAGAGACCATAGTTGAGCCCAGTCGAAGTGTTTAGATGTAGCATTATATGTCCATTGAAGGGATAAGGAGGCGGCGTGACAAAACTCCCAGGCATCCGTCTTCCAGGAAGCCTCGGCGTTCAGTTAAGCTGACCGGGGTGAATGGCTGACAAAATATGGCCCAGAAGCATGTCTAAGTTAAGGGACAACATTTTCCGCATTCCCTTGGCGGACGTATGCTGAATCGCGAACCAGATGATGGATGCCGTTCTCCGACAGACAGTGTAGCATGAGGAAGCAGGAAGCAAGTCGGCTAGATCCGGATTGAATGTCGAGAAGTTCTCAATCGAGATAATTTGGTATCGAAAAGGCGGTGAGCTTGGGGAACGATGTTGAACCAGCAGGAACCGATAGCCGACGATTGTAACGAGCGCACAAGTTTATCAATTTGAACAAGAGTTTGGTAAAAGGGTTTCAGGGAGCTAGACGTCACGTGTATTGGAATAAAATATTCGCCGCGATAGAGGCGAGTCGAAAGTAGGCCTTTGTGCATTGTGAGAGCCATGCTACACCTGGACCTAACCATTGCCG